CCCCCCCCCGAGACTGGAACCCGCCGGGCCAGGACCGCGAAAGGAACAACGGGGCTCGGGAGAAGCCGGAGATTGCATTCAAATGCGCGGAGGGGGCCCATGCGTCGGCATGTGCCCTGGCCGGGTCTCGCGCCCGCGCCCCGGCAGCCCGGAATAATGGTCGAAGCACACATTGCCCGGCGGCCGTGGGAAGGCCCCGTTCTGGGATGATGCATTCGGAGTATGTCTATTCTGGAGCTGGGCCTGCCGGCCTTCCTGAGCGGGAAGAGGGAGGAGGGGGAGAGGGGGATATGTTCCACGGGCGAGCAGGCGGAGAGGGATGCCAGGGACGACGGGCACCAGGGAGTGGGCCATCAGAAGAAGGAAAGGCCGATGCCAATTTGCCAGGCTGGCAGGCCGAGCCCGGCCAGGTTGAGGCCGTTGGCGAAGCGCTCCTGCAACGCGCGGTTGCTGGTGAAGCGGGCCAGGCTGCCGGGCTCCACGCTGGTTCCCTTGGTCAAGGTCGGGAAGATGAGGTTGCACTCGAGGCGCAGCGGCCCCTGGGCCCAGGACAGACCGAGGCCGGTGGTGGTGGTGATCGAGCTGGCCAGTGCATTGGCCGTGTCCTTCGAAAGAAGCGGCGCTATCAGGGCACGTGGCGGGAACGGGCGATGGCGGGGGAGGGGTGGGGGGGGGGGGGGGAGGCAGGTGAGTCCGGGGCAGCATGGGTCAGCAGCGGGATGGGCAAATGAAAACCAGAGGGGGAGGGGGACTGAGACGACTGGCGAGAGAAGAAATGCCAAGACACGCAGGGAAACGCACTGGCCGGATCGCGCAGGAGCAGGCTCCCGGCGTTGGCAAACAGGTGAAGCCGGACGTCAGCATAGCGGGACACAAGGGGGACCGGGGCATAGAGATGGGCCGCCGCCGCGGCGAAGACATCCCCGCCGACGGCGTCCGAGCCCGGCATCGCAACATGGCTGCCGTGCTTGGCCAAGCCGCTGAGGCCTGCACACGATCAGGGGCCCAGAGGGAGAGAGAGAGAGAGAGAGAGAGAGGAGGCAAAGATGTGGTTAGGGAGAATGCAGGCAACAGGATGGCCGGGTGGGGTGGCATGCTCGTGGGTCGGGCGCACGGCGGATGCGCGGGCCGAAGTTCCGGTGTGCGTAGCCACGCATGGTCAGCGGCCCGCCGAGGAAGAAGCGGTCATTGATGGGTACGTTGCTTGGGAGCTTGGCCGCTCCGGTGAGATCGTCGGAGGAGGGGGCATTCATGATGTCTGCCTTGCTGAAGAGGGGGGAAATGAAGCCGGCGTGCGCGCCGATCGACAGGGTCTAGATAGGGCGAGGGCAGCCGGGTAGGGGTAGGGGGGGGGGGGGCGGCGGAGGGCGGGAGCGGAGGCGGGTCAGAGACGCGGCCCCATGGCAGGGCACAGAGCACAACCAAGTAGGCGACACCGGAGAGAGGCAAAGGGGGGGGGGAGCCCCTCGAAGTTGGCAGCACGCACGATGTCGCCCGGCAGGGTGGTCGACGCGCGGACTTCCGTCTCATGGCGAAGGTGGTTCACATCGCCCAGCAGGCCGGCCACCTCGGTGGCCATTCGGGCCCGGGCGCCGTGGCGCGGCATTGTCTCCGAATCCTCGCTGGAGGCCACCCACTCGTGCCGGAGGGCGGACTTGGCCGTGTACCCGGCCTCAGACCGGACGCTGTTTGAGAGAGGAGCACGGACGACAAAGGGTCAGAGGAGGCGAGGCCGAGAGAGGGAAGCCACCTGAGCAGATGAAGGGAAGTGCAAGTTGACGGTCCTCCTCTCCGGTCCTCGCTCAGAGCGAGGGGAGGGCCGGGGTGCGGGAGGGGGGGGGGGGGAGGATGACTTGGCCAAGTAGAACGCACGAGAGGGATGCCTGGTCCGTGAGGGAGGAGATGTTTCGAAGGCTGGCGTCGTAGGCGATCGTGTGGCGACCAAAGGGGGAGGGAGTCTAGATGCAGACGGTCGGTCACGGGGGCGAGCGCAGGGCGAAGGAGGGAAGAAGAAGCAGAAGAAGCAGAAGCAGAAGAAGAAGAAGCAGAAGAAGAAGCAGAAGAAGAAGCAGAAGAAGAAGCAGAAGAAGAAGAAGAAGAAAAAGGGGGCGAGCAGTCGAAAGTCAGCCTGCGAACATGCGCGATGCGACCATCAAAAGGAGCATTGGCGCCAAGCAAGCGCACCCGAATGCTGGTGGACAGGCCGTAGACCTCCTCCGCATGGGAGCTGCTGGTCTTCCAGTCGTAGTCCTGCTTGTAGAGCGACACCGTGAAGGGGGTCGCTGGGTTGGCATCCAAGCAGAGGTGGTAGTCCATCTGTGGGACAAGGGGCGAAATGGTCGGGCCGTTAGCACGAGGCCACAGAAGGCCACCCCGGCCGGAGAGGGTGATGATGTCGGTCGCACCCGGAAGGTCCGGCTATAGTCCATGGAGTGGGCGCTTTCCAGACGAATGGTGTCACCAAGCCCAGTAATGTTCCGCAAGGCCACCGTGGTGTTCTGCCAGGGGAGAGCCGACGCGAGAAGGAAAGCCAGTCAGAGGAGGCGCAGAGGATTGACAAGGAGGAGGGAGCAAGAGAAGGGGGGGGGGAGAGAGAGAGAGAGAGAGAGAGAGAGAGAGGAGAGACGCACCACGGAGCTCGTCACCGTTCCGACATATGTGCCGGCGTGGGCGCTGATGGCCGACTTCTCCACCAGGTCCACCACCAGGTCGGCCTGTTCCAGCTGGCCGTACATGAACTCCGGCTCCGAGGCCAGGAAGCGCCGCGAGGTCTTGCGGAAGATGGTCATCAGCTCGGCAGTGCTGATGTCGGTGCCGGCCGCGCGGATGTCATCTCGCAGCATGAACAGCAGCTTTTTCGGCAGGGAGGCCAGCATGTGCTGGATGGCCAGGTCGTCATCCACATCGAAGTCCATGCTGCCGATGAGGTCGGCATCGCGGTCCAGGAGGAAGTCCGGCTTCGGGACGGCCTTCAGACTGATGCGCACGCTGCTGTAAATGTCCAGGCCCAGGAGGCGCTCATAAAGGGCCACCACTTCGTCTTGAACTTCGTCAAAGGTCTGGGCCGAGGGCCGGGCCGAGGATTAGATTCCGGCGACAGAATGGAGGAAAGGGCGAAGGGCCCAAGGGGGACTGGGGGGGGGGGGGGGGGGGGGGGGGGGGGGGGGGGAGGGGGCGCGGGGGGGGGGGGGGGGAGGGGGACGAGAGGCCCGGCGTGCGTAAACACGCGCACACCAGGAGACGCC